CACCAAAAAGGGTCCATTGGATGCCTTTGTGACGCGAAGAGGTGGTACCCACGATCCAGTTGCCCGCCTTTCGCTTCTAGGAGCTGGATTGGAGCCAGTGGCAGACGACGATCCGTAAGTCTCTTACGATCCCTATCTTACGACTCAAATTCCTTTTTCTAAAAAATGATAACCGGAGAAGTTTTTTATTTATTGGTTTAAAAAAGAGAAATTATTTATAAACTTTGCGATGCAAGTAGCTTTACATGCTGTTGACTCTGGTACAGGTATGACGGAGAGTCTTCCAGTTTAATTACTGAGAAGTCGCGACGGTTTGATCGTCCGCTTTTGCGTCGTAAATATAATAAAAATGAACATCCGACTACTGCTGCAAAGAATGAGGCTGTAAATGAAGAAAAGCCTCCTGCTGACTCGTGGTAAGCACTCACTTTTTTACAATTTTTTTCTTTACATGCTATTTAGCGATCTGCTGGGTTCAATCATACCAGAACAGGTGAAAACACTTGCACCAGGAAGATTGTTTGCGATTGGAGGTGGCCGATTCAATACCACAGACGATTTCGAGAAGTACAAGGAGAGAAAAACGAATTTGTTGTCTTCAGAGCTGAAAGCAAAACTGGGCGTCAGTGTCGCTTACTTTCTTCAGTATCATCTTCATAGCACTTTGGTTTAGATTCCTGTGGACAAAGATGATGCCATCGAGGCAAAAACTGAGGTTGGAAAATCGCGGGATAAAGGGAAGGTAAAGTCTATCATTTCCAATTTTGATCATTTGTATTTTCGATTATTAAACCCCAAATTTACATGCCTCTATCTCCGTTTTTAGGAAAGGAATCCGTCTTTTAAATCAGAAGAGCAACGCAAGGTTACCGCCAGTTCACCACGCGAGACAAGCTCTGGCATGCCTCATCGCGCTGGTGACACCACTAGTCGAGAAAGTACCTCAAGAGATATGAGAAGACGCGATGAGCAACGCATGGCTGAAGACAAACACAGTTCAAGCTCGAACCGTGACGGAGAAAGCTACCGTAGAGGTAGAGATGAGAGGCGAAGGGATTACGGTGGATCTGGAGATAATCGAAGCGGTAGGGAGGACAGAACCTACCCCGAAAGACATAGTGAGGAGAGAAGTTGGCGAGACAGCCTTGGAAATGAGGCCAGAGCCGGAAGTCGACCATGGGAGAGGATTGAAGATGGGAGAAGTCGTGAGCAGCCTCGCGGAGTAATTCGACAATTTGGTACCACTGTGAGAAGCGAATTAGATCCGCCTGGGAAAGTACATAATCCGA